GGATCTTTGTGAAAAATTTGATTTCTTTCGAACAACGAATTCTGTGTAAAGTCGATTTTTCATTGAAAACTAAAACTTTTTGTGAAATATCAGATTCAAATTCCAAGCCTCAAATTTGTAACATGTTACCTGTGTTTAGTGTAGTTTATTAATATTAAACAATGATAACGAATCATTAAAATAAAATAGATATGTATTACCACAATTCACTACATTTAATGGCAGTAATTCAATACGTTTTTCTTTATTTTTTCAAATATTTCAGTTAGTAGAATATATGGCGTAGTAGTGTAGTTTGCCAACTATAAAAGTATATAAGTACAGGCATATGTAGTAGTTTTAAACATGCAACAATGTTGTCTTTTTGCTTGATATTTCTCAGATGTCTGATAAACCAGGCGTGCAACAACTATACACATATCCAAACAAACATTCACACAACAAGTGCACTTACACTTATTCCTACATAGACATACATATATATGTATATGTAGATACTAGTAAGTACAAGTACTCGACTGCAGTTACGTTTGTTTACCCAGCGGAAATAGAGAATGGATTGCTGTAGTTTGAAAAAAAATTGCTTGTAGCACACTAACACTAGCGCATTAATAACTGTTTGTGTGATATTTTATTACTTGTTGTTTTTTTTTTCATATAAAAAAAATAGTGTTAAGTGCCAGACAACAGCAATTATCTGACACAAGGTGAAAATAAAACAAACAAAAAAATATAAGAATAAAAAACATGGGAGATGAACAATACAATAGTGTAAAACATGTGCTAAACAACAATTGCAACAAGCGTAAACAGCAACGGCAGCATCAGCAACAAACCTTACTCCCGGGATAAAAGATGAGATGAGTTTTTTGTTGTGCTAAAAAACACAAAAGTACTTGGTGTTCGGCTTAAACTGAAAATAAAGTTTTAAGTTGAAACAAGTTTTTTCTATTAATGGTGGTTTAAACATAAAAAAGTTCTAAAAAAAAGTCTTAAATGTCACGTAGATAAAATGACATTGTGTCAATAACACAGGCACAAACAGCCAACCAAACACACATACTCAGCAACGCACATACATACGTTTTATGTTTCTCACGAAGGATACATTTCACTTAGCACGCATTTGGAAAGCATGGAAAAAAATAAAATTAAAAACTGATAACAAACAATTCTTGAAAATTGTTTTTAACTTTTAAATATTTATTTGAAACTTGGAAGACAATTTTAAGGTGAAATCAGTGGTAATTCATTGTTTATTTTTAACTAATTTTTAGTTAATTTAAATAAATTTATTTAGCATGATATATTTTGGTAAATTTGATGTCGTTTATGCTCTAACTCGTTTTTAAACGACAAATTACTGGGCATTTTGATTTGATAATGAAATTGGAAAATTTAATTTCCGAAGATCCTGTTTAGGTCCAAGAAAACTTTTAATAAAATAGAAATAAATTTTTAAACGGTTGGTTGGATATGCAAGAGAGGAAGTGTTGCTGGGTTTATGTTTTGAATTTGAAGTTTATAAACACACGTAGGCGGGTCAAGAGTTTTCCAAAGTTGGGCTTTCAGTTGTTTGCTTCTGGTACGATTTAAACTTTATTATTTACTAATATTTACTATTCGCATCGTTTTGTAATTATTAAAGAATCAATATATCCCCATCCTTTTCACACTTGCAGTGCTGTTGCAGTGTCTTATAAGTTGGCGATTTCTAGTCGTACATATTATTATCTACATTTTCTATATAAACCCACTTGAAATCTATACTAAGTTATAACGTCAACTAATAAAAATACCAATTATTTTTAATTAAAAGTATAATATGATATTTAAGAATTCCTCACTCTTCGTTTAAGGAAAATCCTTTTTAAAGTGTAAAATACTTGTATAAAAGCATTTATACACTCAATTCTACAAAATAACCATTTTGTTGTTGATATGCTGCCGCTACTCATGTTGTTCTTGCTCTTATTGTTGTTGATAGTCACTATCATTTGCAAAAGAATTGTTTACAAAAAAAAAAATATCATGTATCACTAAGTTATTTTTGTTGTTGATGCTACTAGAGCTTTGTCTGTTGTCATTGTCGTTGCCTATTTTTTTTTGTAATAGTTGTTGCAATAATGCAACATGTTTGACTGCAATATAATCAACATTTATGAGAAACTAAGTCAGTTATACTCTAAGGTTTTATACTCGTTTCTCTTTCTTCTAAGTCTTCGTCTATTCGCTGTAGAAATCTGCTCATAGTATAACACTCCTCGTTTGTATAGTTGCTTTTATGTTTGTTTTGTTGCTGTTGCTATTGTTGTTGTTTTTATCACTTACTATATGGCACATGCTGAGCCTGGAATAATGTAAATTGTTGTAAAAAAATGCAAGTGTTATATTTTTGCTGTCCTGTAGTCTTCTCACTTTATATTGTCACTTGAGGAAATTGTTGTTTTTTATTTGCTACCATTGCAGTTGTTATTTTACCACTCTTAGCCCACTTGTT